GATACCACCCAGATTTAAAATTGAATCATATTCAATTAAAAGGATAATAAAAACAATAAGTGGTATTGCAAAATAGTAACAAATTTAAGTCAAATGGAATCCTAATTCTACTTCCATGATGAATTATAATGAACTTAGTTCTCCAGGAATATTAGTGTGAACAATAATTTCAACAAATGGACTTGTTTACATTTATTTTATGATTCAACTGTTGGGTCGAATAAAAACATATTTTAACTTCGATTAGTTCTTGTGCTAACATACATCACAGAAATTCATCACAACAAACTTTGTCGTTTATAATTATTGTATTTGATGTAATATATAATTAAAATCCGTCGAAAAAGAAGTCATTTTAGGCTTTTAAGAATCAGGTTAGTAACAAAGATAGTCATACACATACAGTTTTTCCTTAAGGCAAAACTGCGCAGTCCAGACCTTGAGAATTTTGTTTAAATGAAAAAATAGACTTTCTATTTCTTGTTCTCGTGACAAGTCCATTGGTACTATTTGTACTATCAATCAACAGTTGTTGAAAAAAGTGATATTTTTATATTTTAAACTATACAATATAGTCTATATTTTTATTTCACTATTAGTATCCTAGATTTGTAAATACATTTAATATAGTTTTGAAAATAGAAATATTAGTAGTATAATTCTTTTTGATTACTATTGTATGTGGTTTAGGGTTGCTATAAAAATAGAGGATCTGTTAGATAAAAAATATAATGTAAATAATGTTTATACCAAATTATTTCTAATACAACTACTTTAACGTAACTTTACAATAGTGATGAACTATTGCTAGGAATATTGTACTTTTTTTTATGTTAATATGTATTAAGTTAATATTATTATAAATTTTGTGGTTGACATAACATCACAGTTTTATTTATAGAAACTGTAAATAAGGCAGGTAAGAATGTCTATTAACAATCTTACTTTGAAATATTACAATTATTTTTAACTGAAAAAAAAAAACTAATAAACAAAAAAAATAGTCAAAAGCATGTTATGTTCTGTAGATTCGATTCTTTTAATTCAATATATTTTTTTTCAAAATAAAATTAGTTTTATGGTTTTAATTAAAAAAGTAACCTACTCTAATATTACTATATATTAGACATTTCTATTTTTAAAGAAAATTCATATTCATCAGTGGGTAATGATTGACCATTACTTTGGTAAATTTAATAGAGAAAATTTTCAAAAAAATCTAAAAATGATGTTCTATTTTAAAATGTATGTTTGTTTCCATTTTTGGTCATTAATTCATACTTTAGGATTAGTTTAACTATAACTTGAATCTTGTTTTTTATACCCTATAAGTTTAACTCATGTATAATAGAAGAGGATGTAATTTGAAGTTAATGTTTAAGGTATTTTTTAAGAGGTTTCTGGAAATATCTATTTTACTCCTCTGTATTTGATTTTAATAAATTATTTCTGTAGTTTAGTTGTTCATTTTTTATTTCTGACCATTTTTCTGATAAAATTAAAGAAAACACTATTTTCGAATTGAATTTTGCTGCCAAAGATGAATTTTCTGATGCGAAAAACAACTTAACAACTTTATCCATGAGTTTTTATCTTTTTGTTTAGTCCCAATAGAAATATGTAGTGCAATATTAAATATGCAGTAATTTTAATTTAGATAATGCAGTTTTATATATTTTGTAAATTTTAATCATATGTTTTTTAGCTTATACAGGGTGTCCCAATGTTTCGTGAACATAGAACTACTGCGCATTTTTGGAATCAAAATAAGTTAGTAATAAGTGCTTAGTGCTTAGTTTGTGCTAGAGGGTATCAAATTTAAAAAAAATAAACACATTTTTTCAGATATCTTGACAACTGTTAAAAAGCAAAATAAAAACACTAAATCACCACAATACACCAAAACACTTTTACTTTTATAGTCTGTCCAACGAGAAGATCCTTGACAGTGATAGATGTGTCTGTCATTTTAATATCAAAGTAGTTTATTTTATTTTACAAAGAAATAAGTTGGTTCAACTGGAACGCATAGCGATATATTTAAAATTTGATTGACAAGATGACAAGTGATTACTTCAAAATATTGTGAAAAAAACTGTATAAAACTGAAAAAATGTAATCGAGTTATTTTATTTAATAAAAACGGTATGTGTTAATACAAAACAAACAAGAACAGGACACTACATACCAAAAAAAATATAAAAAAGAACTATTATTTACTTTCAAGCTTTGTGAAACTACCCGCATTTATGATTATATTTATCAATATAACTTAGGTACAAATACAAATTTGTAATATTCCACAGGTATAAATAAAACAACATAGGTAAATACAACAAACTATTTTATTAATAATAACACCTACCAAATTTTATACCTTAAAGGTTGATTAATTAACTTTAATCTTAATTTTTTTAAACCAGTACCTTATGACATTATTTTTCTGCAGTACTAAAATCCATTATTTACCTATCGTGTGATGTCGATATTTTACAGCTACTCCAGTTTTTAGTATGTGTTTAGTTTGATCCTTCCATACTTGATATATATATCTATATATATCTCGTATATGGATATTGATCCATATACGAGATGCACTTATCTACGACGAAATGGTATACAAACTTTATCGATGGCAACTTCATTGGTGTATAAGACTTTCTGCCTGGGCAGCGTGTATTAACCATAAACTGTGCTCTGGGTCTACAGTTAATTTTCACTCGATTTTTCCTCCACTTGACTTCAAAAGACACAAAACACACGTAATAATACGAATCAAAATGCATCATCTTTCAAAACGCAAGGTATTTAACAAAAGTTGACACAACATTATAACCTATAATTTGGCAAGACTTTGACAAGCGTCAAAAATGACAAAAATCTAAAGGCGAGTTCATACGCATCGGCGTCCGTTTGTCGTTCATCATTCCGTCAAACCAATAAAATTGAAATACGATCTGTCATTTTTTAAATAAACCAATAAAACTGGTTAAAAACAAGAAGACACGACGTATGACGGATTTATATTTAAACCCATCCATAGATAACTTAAAATTATTAGAAACTTTTTTAGTAAAAATAAATAGATTGGTATGGGACGTCATCTGCAAATTTAAAAAAAAAAATAAACACATTCTTTCAGATATCTTGACACCAGAAAATAAAATATGGACGCATTAATCGTTAATACTTACCATGTTAGCATCATCAGCAGATGATTATAAACTAAGGAGATTAAACTACTATAAAGTTTATAATCATCTGCTGATGATGCTAACATGGTAAGCGAAACGCGCGTCCAGTGTAAAAGTAAAAGTGTTTTGGTGTATTGTGGTGATTTAGTGTTTTTACTTTGCTGTGTAACACCAAAGGTTCCAACCCTCAACTGTAATTGACAACTGTTATTCCGACTTGTATGAGATTTTGGGTATCTATGTTTTTCTATACCGGGTGCGTCTCAAAAGTGGCTCACCCCTATAACTTTTTTATTTTTTCAGATAAAAAAAAACGAGATTTGGCATGTTAGTATATGACATAAATTAGGATTGACTGACGTATTCAATTGTTTTTGGTCACTTCATGTTTCACCGGAAAAGACTACAACTTTTGATTTTTAAATGGTACCCTCGGTGTATTTCTACTTTATTCGATAGAAAATGAAACTCTTAATCGAATGACATATCATATGTCAACTTTTGACATATTCGTTCAAAAACAAATTGTATTTTAAATTTCAATCTAGAGTGCCATGGCTGTGTTAAAAATACTAATTTTTAATCAAGGAGCCTTGGAAAAATAGATTGATCGTCTAATGTTTTTCATGTCTTGTCTTGGCCGGTTAAAAGATGCCCAAATCGTATTTTTAATCATATCTCAATTTTTTCAAATGGAACAAGGGTGGCTCATTAGCATATTTGGAAAAAGCATTTTTTTACGAATAATTTGGTACCACACACTTGGTATTTCGAGTCAAATTGTCGTTAAGAACCTCAAATAAACCATATGCGAAAATGTCAAAAATTGACATATGATATGTCATTCTATTCAGAGTGTCATATTCTATCGAATAAATTAAAAAAATAGCGAGGGTGTCATTTAAAAATCAAAAGTTGTAGTCATTTCCGGTGAAACAGGAAATGACCAAAAACAATTGAATACGCCAATCAATCCTAATTTAGGTCATATACTAACATACCAAATCTTGTTTTGTTACCTGAAAAAATAATAAAGTTATAGTGGTGAGCCCCTTTTGAGACGCACCCGGTATATATCTATAAGTGCTTTAACATTTAACAGAGTCAAAAAATGTAGTAAATACTAGAAATACCATTTTACGAAAAAATTCGGTCGTTGGTTGAGTTGGAAAATATTTATACTAAAATTTAAACCCTTAGTAGTTTTTACCCTTCCCGTACTTTTTCTTGATTTTTGTGAAAGTCAAATGTTAAAGCACTTAGCAAAACATAGACATCTAAAATCTCATTCAAATCGTAATAACGGCTCCTAAAATATCTAAAAAAATGTGTTTATTTTTTTAAAGGTTAATGCCCTCTAACGGGCAAATGAAGCACTTTTGTATAGAGGTAAAGCGTGTCCAATGAACTTAATTTGATACCTAGTAGTTCGATGGTCACGGAATATTGGGGCACCCTATATTTTCAATTTTGTTATTTACTCATCTAAGCGAAATTCATAATAATTATAAAATTATCTTTATTTTTAATAGTAATATAGTTTCTTGATTTCCCTAATACTTGTCTATACAAGAAAACGTATCTACATAAAAACTTTAAATAAATTTATCACTTAAAAAATATATTCCATCATTCTTCGTTGTCAAGGAAATGTTTGTAAATATATTATTTTTATATCCCTAATTTATTAAGTTAGCCGTATCATGTCAGTTTCTGACAAACGAGTGACAGCTGTTATATGGCTGTTATTATACTCCTTGGTTACCTGACGATTATTTTAGAAAATTCGAAATTACATAACTGAAGTTTAAAAGGACTAATATCTTTTTAAAATTAGAGTTCTGTTGTTAAGCGAGTAAGTAAATACAATATCACATATAGTAAATTACCTACAATCGTAAAATATATGTATTTTTTACTTACAACCCTTTGTTTTAGGTATTTGTACAATACCTTCCACTACAGCTCCCATTTGCAAGTTGAAATGGAGGTCAGCGAGCAAGAATTAGAGCCTTCCAGCTTAGTTCCCGAGCCCAAGCAGCCCTCTCCCAGAAAAGTTAAAATAAAGGTAGAAAGCGACACGGATGAGGAATATCTTCCGGGAGGCAAGAAAAAGAAGGGAAAGGCCTTGAAAACGCCCAAAAAAGAAAAATCCGAATCTCCGAAGGTGAAAAAATCAAAACTGAAACGAAAGAAGCAGGAACATAAACTGTGGACTTGCAGACGCTGCTTGCAAGAGTTTGACACTCGAAAAGGCTTAACCGATCACGCGAAAATTCATCACGAGAATAAAACCTCCGACGAGCATACTTTTAAATATGACGACGAGCAGGACTTGTACTACTGTAACACTTGTTCGGCCGAATATCAGACTCAAGAGGAGGTAGAAAAACACATCGTGAAAGTCCACGAAGAATTTTACTCTTGCGAGGTATGCCACCACCAATCTAAAAAAGCTTATTCCTTCGCTATCCACATGAAAACGCATTCCAAAGACGATATGATGGTCTGTCCTCTATGCAGCTATAGCACTCCGAGAAGAACGTGCCTTCAGACGCACATTAACCGAGTACACTACCATAAGTTTTATTACACTTGTGGAACGTGCGGCAAAGGCTTCAACGACTCGGTGATTTTTAAAGAGCACGGCAACGAGCACATGGGCATCAAACCTTTTATTTGCGTGGTCTGTAACAAGGCTTTTTGTTACTCCAGATACATGACCATTCATCAGGTGAGACATCACACTGTTCACATTGAAGGAACTTTGCATAAAACCCAATGCAGCATTTGTCTGAAAGTTTTCTCTAAAGTGGACACGTTGTTGAAACACATCACCACAAAACATAGAGCCGGTGAAGATAAGAATGAAAAAAGACACTTGTGCGACTTGTGCGGAAAAGGTTTTGGTACCAGCGACAAGTTGAAAATCCATTACAGGATTCATACTGGTGAAAAACCGTTTTCTTGTCGATTCTGCGAGAAACGCTTCACTAAAAAAGATTATCTGATTATGCACGAGAGAATCCATACCGGCGAGAAACCGTATCCTTGCGAGTACTGTGGAAAATGCTTTAACCAAGCTTGCTCTCTGAGAATTCACGTACGAGGACACACAGGAGAACGTCCTTATATCTGTCAAATATGTAACGGTGGATATATATCACGAGGATCACTCAATTTACACATCAAGACTTGTAACGGCATGAGAAGTGACATGGCTAATGACATGGTTTAAAAGAAGCAACGTATTTATATGTAGGTAGATTAGTTTTATAGAGTTCATTTTGATTTGTTCGTTCCGTTTTCATATTGTTAAATTTTTTATATCAATGATTTTTACTTAGAGTAAAGATTACTTTTGTGCAATTTGTTATATTGTTTTCGAAGAAACGCAAAATATAATAAAGCTGTGTAGTTTGTTTTATTGTTGGGAAAATAAATATAATTTATTTAGAAAGAAAGAGAGAAAATATATTATGTATATTTAGAAATAACTTATATGGCTAGGTATTGTATAAAGTACATGTATAAAATCGTACTATTGCTGGTAAATGGTTTTAGAGAAAACAAAAAATATATTATTACTAGGATTAGTTTAAAAAAATCTATATTAAATTTGTATAAATCTGAATTAAAATGCAAAGAAATTATTTATATAGGTGGTATTTCTATATTTCAGTGGTTCATATTTATTGACCAAGTCTGCTGCCTGGCAAAATTAACTTTTACTGATAGTTCTGTCAAAGTTGGTAAACTTTTATAATAAAAACAAAAACTATAACTTTTCATAACCTTGTTGTAACATCCAAATTTGTTATTTCTTTAAGATATAATAAATTTTAACATATTTTTTTATAAAAATACATAATAATATAATACATAAGAAAATATATAAAAATATATTGGACTTGATGAATAAACCTCTAATATAATGTATATGTTACAGTGAAAGTTCAACAAATCCAGTAAATGTTGACAAATCACTAGGATATGCTAACAGTTACCAAAGTTTACAGATTCTGTAAACTTTGCAGTTACGCACTGGGCCAGTGAATATCGTATTTAAAAAAAATCGATTTTTACAGGTAATTATTAGCACTCACTAGTGAGAGTAAAATTTACTAAAAGTTATCAGTAAACGTTATTCCATTCCATTATACAGGGTGATCGAAACTGGTCTGTTTTAACAGTGAAAACCTATTTCCTGACTAGATCCCAGACTAGATAAATTACATAGACATATGTAGATGTCATGGGCTCAACTTCTGAGACACGGTTAATGACATAAATCACCTGTTGGTATTTTCACTGCCAACTGACATACGGGGTCTTTTTGAATTTTTTACCTTTTTGAAAATTGCCAAAAACTTTTTTATTTCGCAGAATAATAAAATTCTGTAAAAACGTCCTTAAGGCACTTTTTAAGTACAATCCAGTGGCGTAGTGAGTTTTTTTTTGTCAGAAATAGGTAATAAAAAATTTATTTTTTTAAATGGAAATCATAGTTGGCTATGAACTTAAAAAATGCTGGCGTTAAACTCTTTCCAACGATATAAAGTTATGGGTATCTATTTCTAAGAATGAGAGAAATATTAGGTTTTTTTGTTGCCTAATAATTTTTTTTCACAATTTAATATTCTATTTTATTATTTATCTGCATAATTAAAGACTTTTGAAAAGGTAAATTAAATTCTATATTAGTATTTTTTAAACATTTTCATTAGGTTCATAGCCAACTATGATTTCTATTTAAAAAATTATATTTTTTATTATTACTGACAAAAAGATCAAGTATAGGAAAAAAAACTGACTACGCCACTGGATTGTGCTCTAAAAAGTGCCTCAAGAACGTTTTTACAAAATTTTATTATTCAGCAAAATAAAAAAGTAATGGTCAATTTTCACAATGGTAAAAAAATCAAAAAGGCCCAATTCAACAGGCGGGTTTACGTCATTAAACGTGTCTCAGAAATCGAGCCCATGACATCTCATTCTCTGTTAAAACAGATCAATTTTGACTACCCTGTACAATAGGGAACTCGTCGCTGGAAGTTGGGACAAATAAAGCGTTTAAGAATATTGAATCACCTCCATATTTAAAAAAAAATTGATCCGTCATCTTAAAATTACATGAAATCGACAATAAAAACAGTCAAACATTAAGCGTCTAGCCGCTGTCGGATAACTACTGTCTATCATAATCGATATAAAGTTGTACGATTGCGTTGTTGTACGTACGTATTGTACGTTGTTTGATTGCTTTGGTTTCAATCTTTTTTTTTTCGTTATTCCCTAGTTTTCTCTTTAATTTTAACACGAATTTTTTTGTCTCTATTTTAACACTGAATATCTCACGTTAAATTTTCCATCATCTCCTTTATCGATCGGCTCTGATCGTAATTTCCGCATTGTAAGTTCCGCTATTAGAATATACAGGGTTGTTCGCCACATATGACACGGAGTATTGTAGCTAAACGATGAGCTTTCTACAAATTGTAAGTTTTGGGTTCGATGAAGGACTATTAGAGGTACAATTTAAAAATAATATTACAAGATACAGAGTGTCCCAAATAAGTAAAAAATATCAAAGTTGTATTTTTTTAAATGGAACACCCTGTATATTATTACATTTTTAGTTTTTACGATTAAAATAAAGGTAAATTTGATTAAGGTTTATTGTACTTAAACCTTACCGTTTTTGAAATATTTTCAATTTTGTGAAATTGCAGTAAAAATTTTAAGGCTTCATTTCTCCAAGGGTATCAAAGTTTTTAATACTAAATATTTACTGAAGTTTATTTACTGATCAGTTATTGTGTTGCAATAATAAAAATAATACTACCTTATACAGAGTGTCTAAAAATTTATTTTAAATAATTATTAGCTTCAAACGGCAATAACTTGTTTAATTTAAATGGTACACCCTGTATATTTTACGAGAATCAGATGCACAATTTAATTGTCTATCAAATCATATTATACCATTTTTTACCTATCTCTTTAAGTTTCCGTAGAAAATGCATTTTCTTGTAATTAAAACTAAAAATGTAATAATATACAGGGTGTTCCATTTAAAAAAATACAACTTTGATATTTTTTATTTATTTGGGACACTCTGTATCTTGTAAAAATATTTTTAAATTGTAGCTCTAATATCTCTATTTTAACACTGAATATCTCACGTTAAATTTTCCATCATCTCCTGTATCGATCGGCTCTGATCGTAATTTCCGAATTGTGGGTAACGGGCAGCTCTTAGAATATATTTAGAAATGAATTTGAATTCATCTTCAAAGCTTGACTTCTATCTAGTAGCTGCTAGATAGAAGTTGAAAAACAAAGCGAATCTCAATTTTAACATTCACGAATGGTAGCTGTAAAATTCACTAGTAAAATTTTGTTTCATTATTAATTGTTTACTTTTACTGGAGTAGTGTTGGTTAGCAAATCAAGGAGTGTGAGCTTCTACTGGTAATTGTTGACATTCGCTGATTTCTGACTTACTGTTTTACTGTAACATATACAGAGTGTCAAAAATAGTGTATCTAACTTCGGTGAGTGATTTTGTAGATAAAAATACAACAGAAAGTTCCTATGAACATATGCCCTAAAATGCTTCCCGAAGAAGTTACAACCCTTGAAAGGGTAAATAAAAATAATATACAGGGTGCTTCAAAAACATGTGCCATCTCTCGTGGAGAGATTCCTCACGAAAAAATAAGATTTTTTTTTCATATCAACATAGGTCCGATTCTGCTAGTTTCGTAGCTACAGGGTTTTTTTTGTCTTAATAATTTTTCGATTTATTATAATTTTCTTCCAAGTACTTTGAGTGGTCGAATGAAATTTTCAGGGTAAAAATTACTATAAGTGCTACATATTTTAATGCAAAAAAAGTATCGAGAAATCAGAAATCCATCAAGGACGTGCATATGGGTTATCACTGGAATATTTTTCAAAAAAAAACATGTGCGTCACTGACTTTTTTCTTTTGATATGAAAATTATGTAGGCCGTTTAATGTCAATTAAAAGTTACCTCTTGATATTTTGTCGAATTCGGCATCCTTGATGAGATAAACGCAATTTTATTAATCACAATTAATAAAATTAAAATAAAAATTAATTTAATAAATTATATATTTTACCTTATTTATTATTAAATATTATTACTATTGGTTATTATTACAGTTAGTTCAACCTACAGCAATTTCAAATAAAGAAATAATGGTATTTAAGATAATTACAAAAAAACTAATTTAAAAAGTTTTAACATCCTGTAACTTTAAAACTATGCATTTCCATGCCAATGGAGTTTTTTCATATTTTTGACGATGAATCAATAAGTACTTATTATTTAAATTTATATCTCCGAAACTAAAGTTTCAAAAAATTCGTAATAATCTAGAAATTCATTTACCCACTAGTAGTTATAAAAAGCATTTTTGGTAAACTCTGTCTCTAATAGTTTCTGAAAAATAAAATTAATTTTTTTAAAAATGTCCGATTAAATTAATATCTCCGAAACTAAAGTTCCCAAAAAATTCGTAATATATCTAGAAATTCATTTACCCACTAGTAGTTATAAAAAGCATTTTTGGTAAACTCTGTCTCTAATAGTTTCTGAAAAATAAAATTAATTTTTTTAAAAATGTCCGATTAAATTAATATCTCCGAAACTAAAGTTCCCAAAAAATTCGTAATATATCTAGAAATTCATTTACCCACTAGTAGTTATAAAAAGCATTTTTGGTAAACTCTGTCTCTAATAGTTTCTGAAAAATAAAATTAATTTTTTTAAAAATGTCCGATTAAATTAATATCTCCAAAACTAAAGTTCCCAAAAAATTCGTAATATATCTAGAAATTCATTTACCCACTAGTTGTTATAAAAAGCATTTTTGGTAAACTCTGTCTCAAATAGTTTCTGAAAAATAAAATTAATTTTCTTAAAAAGGTCCGATTAAATTTATATCTCCGAAACTAAAGTTCCAAAAAATTCGTAATATATCTAGAAATTCATTTACCCACTAGTAGTTATAAAAAGCATTTTTGGCAAACTCTGTCTCTAATAGTTTCTGGTTTGGTTTGGTTTGGTTTATATCATTAACTTTCACAAGTTAATGATATAATTTTTTTTAAGGCTGCTATTGACTTGGATCAATGCACATTAATAAAATTGCTTCTATCTCATCAAGGAGGCCGAAATCGACAAAATATGAAGAGACAATATTTAATCGGCATTAAACTGCTTACACTATTTCGCTAACAAGGGAAAAAAGTCAGTGGCGTACATGCTATCGTTAGAAAAATATTCCAGCGATAACCCATATGCACGTCCCTGGTGAATATGTCGACATTTTTTTAGATTTAAAATATGTCGCACTTGTACTAAGTAACTTTTACCCTCAAAATTTCATTCGAAACACTAAAAGTACTTGAAAGAAAATTATAATAAATCGAAGAAATATTAAGACTTTAACACCCTGTAGCTACGAAACAAAGCAGAATCGGACCTATGTTGATATGAAAAATAAATCTTATTTTTACGTGAGAAATCTCACCACGAGCGATGGTACATGTTTTTGAAACACCCTGTATTTTGTTTATTTTAAGAACATTGGTAAACCGTTTTTCCTGAAATTTGGTACTCTTACACACATTTTAATGCCAAGGCGAATGGCGATCATGTAAAATTCAATAGCACCCCTGAAATGGTACTTTCCACTAAGATAGATAGTACTACTGGTGGTACTTCTCTTATCCTTATAGATACAGTAATTTCAACAAATGATATAAAAAGCTGGAAATTCGCATCTTTTACTTAAATAAAAATCGGTAAAAACTTTAAGTTAAACGGTTTTATCTTATGTGCACTGAAAACTAGAAAATAATAATAACAATTAGGTATTTTGAACTTCTAGTTCAGAAATATTTTAGTACTAGGCAGAATAGCTTTTAGGCATATTAGACTAAAATAAAAACGTGGGGCCCATTAACTATTGCTGTAATACTTTCTTCTATACTAAGTGTGGATTGCATCGACTTACTATAATCGTAACTGGAGATTTTGACAATCAATAACCAGCCGTGGCGGCTTCACCAGCGAACGCCGAGCTCATGATCTACCAAAGTATAAAGATATGCTTTGCCATAGGTAGGATTTCAGAGGGGCCCCACGTTTTTATTTTAGTCTAATATGCCTAAAAGCTATTCTGCCTAGTACTAAAATATTTCTGAACTAGAAGTTCAAAATACCTAATTGTTATTATTATTTTCTAGTTTTCAGTGCACATAAGATAAAACCGTTTAACTTAAAAGTTTTTTTACCGATTTTTTATTTTCTAGTTTTTAGTATTTAACGGAAA